AGCTTCTGCCCGCGCAGGTAGTACAGTAATTACGGGCCCAGCAGGAGCTCCACACAAGCAGCAGCTCAATTAAGAAACAAACACTCCACTGGAAAGGAAAAAAAATTGTAGGCTGCCTTCTATATCCTCCGCCTCCTTCCTCTCTGCGCTTAAGGTGGCTTCGAGAGATGGGAGGCCAAGCAGGTGCCTGAGGTTTGGGATGCCGGGACTACAACTCCCAGCATCCTCCAGCATGCTGGGAGTTGTAGTCCAAAATGAAAGTTCTCTGGTAATCCAAGGGCTGATGTTGTTGGACTGCAACATTTGCAAATTCACACATCGATAGACTAGCTGTCCCCTGCCATGTGTTGCTATGGCTGAGTCTGGTAACCTAGAAAATAAAGTAATGAGAAAGTGTTGGTTTCTAATATATGTAATTTCTTGATGTTTGTGAGTAAACAGTATTTCTTGTTCTTTCTTTGTCAGTGTTAATTTAAAGATCGTGTGGTTTGCCTACTCTGGAACATGCAACATGCAAATTGCCCTTCTTTAGGGGTCCCTTTCAAATCTATGATACTATATCTCTCTGTGTGTGAATCATAGCTATCTATCTATCTATCTATCTATCTATCTCTCTGGATGGCTTGTTGTCAGGAAGGCTTTGATTACATTTACTTGTCCTGGTAATGGGAGTTAGACTGGATGGTCTTAAGTGTTTTCTGTTAGTCATGGGGGGTTTGCCCCAATTCTGTCGTTTGTAGGGTTCAGAATACTCTTTGATTGTAGGTGAATTGCAAATCCCAGTAACTACAACTCCCAAATGTCAATTTCCCCCAAACTTCATCTGTGTTTATATTTGGGCATATGGAATATTTGTGCCAAGTTTGGCCCAGATCCATCATTGTTTGAGTCCACAGTGCTCTTTGGATGTAGGTGAACTACAACTCCCAAACTCAAGGTCAATGCCCACCAAACCCTTCTGTTGGTCATGGAAGTCCTGTACGCCATGTTTGGTTCAATTCCATCATTGGTGGAGCTCAGAATGCTCTTTGATTGTAGGTGAACTATGAATCCCAGCAACTACAACTCCCAAATGACAACATCAGTTTTTTTTAGTGATGGTCACTCTTTGAGTTAGGCGGTGTCTTGTGTCCAAATTTGGTGTCTATTCGTCCAGTGGTTTTTGAGTTCTGTTAATTCCACAAACAAACATTACATTTTATTGATTGATTGATTGATTGATTTCTTTAGATAGGTAGATAGATAGATAGATAGATAGATAGATAGATAGATAGATAGATAGATAGATAGATAGATAGATAGAGATACATAGATATATAGATGTCTTTGTAGGAGATCAGTGCTTGGAAGAACTCACGACATCCACCACCATAGGCACATCTATGTCAGTGACCATATGGGTTAGAGTTTCTGGGAGGTGTAATCCAAAAGGAAACTTTCCTGAGAATAAGGTTGGGTTACGATATCTTCAGACCCAATACAATATGGCATTTGACAAGGGGCCAAAAAGAAACTTGTCCAAGTCCTATAGTATGAATATATAGGTAAAGGTTTCCCCTGACGATGTTAAGTCTAGCTATTTCTGACCCTGAGGGGTATTGATCATCTCCATTTCTAAGCCAAAGAGCCGGCATTGTCCACAGACACCTCCAAGGACATGTGGCCGGCATGACTGCATGGAGCACTGTTACCTTCCTGCAGAAGCAGTACCTATTAATCTACTCACAATAGTGTGTTTTCCAACTGCTAGGTTGGCAGAAGCTGGACCTAACAGCAGGAGCTCAGTCTGCTCCCCGGATTTGAACCGCCAACCTTTCGGTCAGCAAGTTCAGCAGCTCAGCAGTTTAACCCACTGCACCAGCAGGGGGTTATTATATATTTCAGATTATGGATTATAGTTTGGAAGGACTGCTTCCTTGGATTGCAGCTTACAAAATCTGCTCACAGATTCAGTGAGCTGCAATCGAAGGAAGCAGTTTTCCCAAACTATTATGCATATCAGTGAACATATTGGTAGGTGGATTCTGGTGGTTGTGGTTCAAAGAGAAGCATTCCCAAGCTGTATGCTGAAGGGGCTGCCTTTTTGGTTTCTAAGAACTTCGGATCCACCAGTATGCTTGTTCATTGCCATGTGGCCTGATGATGTTTTCCTGGATGGCAAGGGGTTGAGTTGGGTGGCCTTTGTGGTCTCTTCCAACTCTTACGGTTCCTTAAAACTTGTCCAAGTTATTTTAGACTGTCTATGGATGACAGCAGAGTTTGGAAGAAGAGTTTCCTTGGAGTGCAACTCACAGAATCCCCCAAATTCAAATCAGTTTGGGGGATTTTGTAGGTTGTTGTTCACAAAGAGACTTTTCCAAGCTCTCTTTGTGAGTGCCTGGGTGATAGCTTAGAGAAAACACTGTTCCCAGAATCCTCCAGCACACACTCCACAGAGAAAGAAAGAGAGAGTTGGAGCACAGACCATACTAACTGGGGGGTTCTGGGAGTTGTAGCCCTAAAATAATCATAAAACTCCCCATTAAAACCGTGGATGTGTCTCTTAATGAGACCTGCTGCATTATCACAGGATGTCTACAGCCCACACCACTGGAGAAATTATACTGTTTAGTTGGTATTGCACTACCTGACGTCTGCTGGGAAGTAGCAGCCAACAATTAAAGGACCAAGGCAGTGACATCTCCAGCCCACCATCTGTTCGGATATCAGCCAGTACACCAACACCTTAAATCGAGAAATAGTTTTCTAAGAGCTACAGAGATACTCCCAGGAACATCTCAGCAAGCGAGAGTCCAAAAGTGGCAGGCAAAAACCTGGAACCTCAAGCCATGGCTGATACCGAATTAGAGGCTCCCTCTCCTGGGCCACTTGGAAGGCGCTGAACAGACTACGCTCTGGCACCACAAGATGCAGAGCCAACCTGAAGAAATGGGCCACAAAGTGGAGTCCACAAGATGCGAGTGTGGAGAAGAGCAAACCACAGATCACTGAGTACAATGCAGTCTGAGCCCTGCCACATGCAGAATAGCAACACCAAGTGGCCAGTTTCTGGTCAAAGAACATTTAGTATAATGCCAATTTTTTAAACTTTGTGTTTTTAAATACATTACAACTGTACACTCGGTTCGCTTCTGGGATGATAAACAAATCCCCTCTACATATTGTATGTTTAGGCTGTGATGATTATTGATTCAAAGTTCCCAGTATGCTCCAACAACTCCAGTTGTCACGATTGCCAATCTAAAGTTCCTAGTATAGAATCAGAGAGTTGCACGAGACCTCATAGGCCATCCAGTCCAATCCCCTGCCAAGAAGCAGGAAAATCACATTCAAAGCACCCTCGACAGATGGCCATCCAGCCCATGTTTAAAAGCCTCCAAAGAAGGAGCCTCGACCACACTCCAGGGCAGAGAGTTTCACTGTTGAACAGCTCTCACAATTACGAATGTTCAGGTGGAATCTCCTTTCCTGTAGCTTGAAGCCATTGCTCTGTTTCCTAGTCTCCAGGTCAGCAGAAAACAAACTTGCTCCCTCCTCCGTATGACTTCACCTCACATATACATGGCCCTCATCATGTCTCCTCTCAGCCTTCTCTTCTGCAAGCTAAACATGCCCAGCTCTTTAAGCCGCTCCTCATAGGGCTTGTTCTCCAGACCCTTGATCCTTTGAGTTGCCCTCCTCTGGACACATTATAGTTTAGAGTCAACATGTCCCTTCAATTGTGGTGCCCAGAACTGGACACAGTGTGATTCCAGGTGTAATCTGACCAAGGCAAAAGAGAGGGGCAGCATGACTTCCCTGAGCAATGAGTCACCAGGAAGAGAAATGTAGAGTTGGTGTAAAAAAAAATCAAGTGAGGGACACCCATTTTCAAAGCCCATCAAAGCAAATGGGATTGGCTTAGTGAGGCTGCAGGAAATCCTTACACCTCCTGATTAGGACATTAAGCAAATCCCATTTATTTTTCTGCGTCAGATTCCACAAATGATAACAAGGTGGCCTTAGACTTATGAGTATTAGAGTGTGAAATCAAGAGGACAGTAAATTATGGGTATGCATTAATTCTACAGTGTAGATCAGGCCTGGGCAAACTTGGGCCCTCTAGGTGTTTTGGACTCCAACTCCCACCATTCCTAACATCCTCAGGCCCCTTCCTTTCCCCCCACTTAAGAATGTTAGAATGTTGAAGCTGGCCAATCAAAAACCATATGCAAATCGAGATAGCTCCTGCATGTGCCAACTTGGGCCCTTCCAAGTGTTTTGGACTCCAACTCCCACCATTCCTAACAGCCTCAGGCCTCTTCCTTTTCCCCCACTTAAGGATGTTAGAATGTTCTAGCTGGCCAATCAGAAACCATATGCAAATCGAGATAGCTCCTRCATGGGCCAACTTGGGCCCTCTAGGTGTTTTGGACTCCAACTCCCACCATTCCTAACAGCCTCTGGCCCCTTCCTGGGCCAACCTGGGCCCTCTAGGTGTATTGGACTCCAACTCCCACCATTCCTAACAGACTCTGGCCCCTTCCTGGGCCAACTTGGGCCCTCTAGGTGTTTTGTAMTCCCAACTCCCACCATTCCTAACAGCCTCAGCCCCCTTCCTTTTCCCCCTCAGCCGCTTAAACCTAGAGGAATKGTGGGAGTTGGAGTCCAAAACAACTGGAAGGCCCAAGTTTGCCCAGGCCTGATCTACATAAGCTTCCTTATTTAGCAGTCTCGATTCCTCCTGTCAATCCCTTTCGAGCAGATAATGAGATTCTTTCCAAACCCCCGGCTTCCCTGCCAGGAGCGCGAAGTGAGCCATTCGCACCTTCACAAAAACAACAACAACTAATCCCGCCGCTTGCTCTTAAAGGGCCAGCAGGTCGCTGCGCCTCCCTATACCGGCGGGAACGAATTCGGGTCCACCTTAAACCGGGCAGAGACTCCCTCCTCCCTTCGGCAACACCCTATCCCTTCCCTGATTGGCTCCTGGCGCGAAAGGAGGCGGGGCGGGACACCCTGCGGCATAAAGAAGCTGGGGAGCAAGAGCCCGGGATTGGTGCTACCGGAGCAAAGAGTAAGGAAGGGAGAGCCAGCAAGGAAGGAAGGAAGGAAAGAGAGAGAGAGAGCAAAGGCTGCTGCTCCCATCTCCGGAAAAGGTGAAGCATTGAGGAGGGAAAGTTGGAAAGGGGGAGAAAGGAAAGGATCGGAGGTTTGGGAAGGATGAGCGCGGAGAGGCGGAAAAGGAACTGAAGCCAAGGAGAGAGACTCGGGAAGGGAGTTAGTAGTGCATTGGCTGCTCTGGTTGTGCTTCCCTTGCTTTGGAGAGGCGAAAAGAGGACTGAGAAGCCAAGGAGAGAGACTCAAGAAGGGAATTGGTGCCTGGGCTGCTCTGATTGTGCTTTGGAGAGGCGGAAAAAGGACTCAGAAGCCAAAGAGAGAGACTCGGGAAGGGAGTTAGTGCCTTGGCTGCTCTGGCTGTGCTTCCCTTGCTTTGGAGAGAGAAAGAGAACCGAGAAGCCAAGGAGAGAGACTCGGGAAGGGAACTGGTGCCTGGGCTGCTTCTCCTTCTGTTTCCCTTGCTTTGGAGAGGCGGAAAGAGGACTGAGAAGCCAAGGAGAGAGACTCGGGAAGGGCACTGGTGCCTGGGCTGCTTCCCTTGCTTTGGAGGCGCCCTGGCTCTCGGCGAGGCAGGTTAGTGGCCGAAGAGGCGCGCTCTCGCTCCGTGTCGGGTCTCCTTCCTCCTGCTCGGAGCCCAGCATGGATCGGGCTTCCCTCCTGGCTCTCCTGGCGCTTCTCCTGCCTCTCCTCCCGGCCTGGGTGGGCTCCTCTTCTTCTTCCTCTTCGTCCTCCTCCTCCTCGGCGTCCGCTGCCTCCTCCTCCTCGTCCTCCTCCTCGTCCTCGTGCCAGGAGATCACGGTCCCGCTGTGCAAAGGCATCGGCTACAACTACACCTCGATGCCCAACCAGTTCAACCACGACACGCAGGACGAGGCCGGTCTGGAGGTGCACCAGTTCTGGCCGCTGGTGGAGATCCAGTGCTCGTCGGACCTGCGCTTCTTCCTGTGCAGCATGTACACGCCCATCTGCCTGGAGGACTACAAGAAGCCCCTGCCGCCCTGCCGCAGCGTCTGCGAGCGGGCCAAGGCCGGCTGCGCCCCGCTCATGCGCCAGTACGGCTTCGCCTGGCCCGACCGCATGCGCTGCGACCGCCTCCCGGCCCAGGGAGACCCCGAGACCCTCTGCATGGACTACAACCGCAGCGAGGCCGCCACCCCGCAGCCGCCACGGCCCCCGCCGCCCCCGCAGCCGCCCAAGCCGCCCCGCAAGCCGGCCCTCCTCCCCCCGCAGGCGCCCCCCAAGCCGCCCCCCAAGGCGCCCCTCCCTCCGCCCTGCGAGCCGGGCTGCCGCTGCCGCGCCCCCATGGTGTCGGTCTCCAGCGAGAGGCACCCGCTCTACAACCGCGTCCAGACGGGGCGCATCCCCAACTGCGCCTTGCCCTGCCACAACCCCTACTTCACCCCCGACGAGCGCGCCTTCACCGCCTTCTGGATCGGCCTCTGGTCCATCCTCTGCTTCCTCTCCACCTTCGCCACTGTCTCCACCTTCCTCATCGACATGGAGCGCTTCAAGTACCCCGAGAGGCCCATCGTCTTCTTGGCCGCCTGCTACCTCTTCGTTTCGCTGGGCTACCTGGTCCGTCTGGTGGCCGGGCACGAGAAGGTGGCCTGCAGTGGTGGGGCGGCAACGGCGGGGCCTTCCGGTGCTTCGGGCGCATCTGCAGGGGCAGCGGTTGCAGTGGGAGGTCGTGGGGCAGCAGGAGGTGCCGCTGAGCTGCAGCCGGAACTGGCCGGTGCTGAGCATGTGCGCTACGAGAGTACGGGCCCGGCACTCTGCACCGTAGTCTTCCTGCTGGTCTACTTCTTCGGCATGGCCAGCTCCATCTGGTGGGTCATCTTATCCCTCACTTGGTTCCTGGCAGCGGGCATGAAGTGGGGCAACGAAGCCATCGCCAGCTATGCCCAGTACTTCCACCTGGCGGCCTGGCTCCTGCCCAGTGTCAAGTCCATTGCAGTGCTGGCCCTCAGCTCAGTGGACGGCGACCCCGTGGCCGGCATCTGCTACGTGGGCAATCAGAGCTTGGAGAACCTACGGGGGTTTGTGCTAGCCCCGTTGCTCATCTACTTAGCCATCGGCTCCATGTTCCTGCTGGCTGGCTTCGTCTCGCTCTTCCGCATCCGGAGCGTCATCAAGCAGCAGGGAGGGCCCACCAAGACCCACAAGCTGGAGAAGCTCATGATCCGGCTGGGGCTCTTCACTGTTCTGTACACTGTCCCGGCGGCCAGCGTGGTGGCCTGCCTCTTCTATGAACAGCACAACCGGCCCCGCTGGGAGGCCACCCACAACTGCCCTTGCCTCCGGGACCAGCAGCCTGACCAGGCCCGCCGGCCGGACTACGCCGTCTTCATGCTCAAATACTTCATGTGCCTGGTGGTGGGCATCACTTCCGGAGTGTGGGTCTGGTCTGGGAAGACACTGGAGTCCTGGAAAGCCTTGTGCACGCGGTGCTGCTGGGCCAGCAAAGGGACGGCTGCCGCCGTGGCCTCTGGGAACATTGGTGCTGTCGTGGGCAACGGCGGCATGGGGGGCATGGTGACAGCAGCAGCGGTGGGGGGACTCGGGGGCGGAGCGGGCTCCATGTACAGTGACATCAGCACCGGCTTGACGTGGAGGTCTGGCACTGCCAGTTCGGTCTCGTACCCAAAACAGATGCCCTTGTCCCAGGTGTAAACAAAAGGGGGGGGGCACCATGCTTTTGAAACTGTTTTTTGTCAATGACCTTCCTCATGGCCTCCCCACGTGCAGGACAATCGACCACTACTGGAGGTTCCCAAGTGCCAGATCGCTTCCCTGAGCCCCATTCCCAAGTTCATATTCCTTGCAAGGAACTACCAACTTCTGTTGTGGAAAGTGAGATAGGAGTTGGAATCTGTCAAGACCAAGACTGCCCTCACCAATGGGGCAAGAGACCCTCAGTTGGGAAGGGCTTCTCTACTTGCTTTTGCTCTTCCCTTCCAACTTTAGAGGTGACATCAGCAAAAGTTGCTGGAGTCTGATATGACTGCAAGGGTGGGAGGGAAATGGGGGGGGGGGCTACAAATGGGCAGATGCCTTAAATTCAAACCATGTCTTAATTATATGCCCCAGATAAATACGGGTCTCTTATGTTAAAGGATGTATTTATATAATTATTTGGTACCTTGTACAAAACGTGTAAGATATGTATATAATCCAAATGCTATACAGTCTGTAAATTTTTTTTGTTAAAAGAAAAAAAGTTTAGAGGCTGATCATCACTTGCTCCCTCCTAAGAGCAACTATTTGAGTATTCTATTTTGTCAATAAAAGGAGAAATGATTTTATTGGAATTGAGCAGTTTTCCCTGTTGACGCCTTCTTGGCTCGGTGGAAAATATGAAAACAGGGGTGTCAAAATGCATAGGAAAATCCATAATTTGTTTCAGGGGATGGAGGAGATTGCACTGTGGTGTTCCTCTCATGTCAGGGATGTAACTAGATGTTGTTGGGACTTCATATCCCATCACTCCAAATGAAATATTTGATGGTCAGGAATGATCAGAATATGTTCCCTATCAGATTGTGATAAATTACTCTTTCTATCAGTCCCTTCAGGGAGATGTATTATTATTATTATTATTATTTGTTACATAACAAGATTAGTACACAGCAAACAAGATCACTATGTTGGCTTTTGTATTCAATCACATATCAGACACTTCCCAAGTGTCTAGGACTGTGTGATGTATTGGCAAATAATGTGTGCAGCTGACAGATGGTAATTTTGTCAGCACCAATTGTTTTTAAGTGCAGGCCAAGGTCTTTAGGCACTGCACCCAGTGTGCCAATCACCACTGGGACCACCTTTACTGGCTTGTGCTGGAGTATTTGCAGTTTGATCTTTAAATCCTCATATCATGTAAGCTTTACCAGTTGCTTCATGTCGATTCTGCTGTCACCTGGGATTGCATTATTACTATTATCATCATCATCACCACCACCACCATTCTTCACCATTGGCCATACTGCTAGGGACTAATTGGAACTGGAGTTAACAGCATCACAGGTTCACTTCCCTCAGTGGGGAAATTTTAGTCCGGTTCCCATCATCTCAAGGCTAGGAGTGATGGTTGCTGAAGTCCAATATCACTTGGATGGCTGCACATTCCCTACCTCAGGCTTAGGGAGCAGAGTTGGCAAAGTTGTGGCCACTCTGCTGTTTTTGCTGAAGTAAGCCATTTCTAGTTTGGAAGCTATGAAGAGCTGAGGTTATAGAATCACCATCAGCAATCAGTTTGCCAAGAATAGTTCCACCTGAATTCTGTGGAAGCTACAAGACAGGAGGCACAGGTACCTGGGGCATGCTGTCTCTTGTGATGTGGTTTTCAGAGCAGCTTCATTGCAACCACCAGACAAATAAAGTTAAGGAAGTTGGGACTACTTCAAAAAATGAAAAAAAAATGACTACTGATTTCCCACAGACTTCAGGTGCATCTACAGCAGGCATGGGCAAACTTTGGCCCTCCAGCTGTTTTGGACTTCAATTCTCACAATTTCTAACAGCCACAGGCCCCTTCTTTTTCTGCCTCAGCCACTTAAGCAGCTGGAGGAGGAAAGGAAAGGACCCGAGGCTGTTAGGAATTGTGGGAGTTGAAGTCCAAAACACCTGGAGGGCTGAAGTTCGCCCATGCCTGGTCTACACTGTAGAATTCATGTGGTTTGACACCTCTTGAACTATCATGGCTCAATACTATGGAGCCTTGGGATTTGTAGTTTGGTGAGGCAGCAACACTTTTTGCAGAGAATGTGGTGTACCTTGTAAAACCACAACTTCCATGATTCTATACCATTGAGCTCCTGGAGCCAAACTGCAACGATTCTAACATTGTAGAGGCACTTTGCGATGATACTTTGAGTACTTTGGAACTTTTTGGACTGCCAATGTCTACAATCCTCAATTTGGGGAGAGAATTCTGGCAGGGTTGCTATGAGTTTTCTGGGCTGTATAGCCATGTTCCAGAAGCATTCTCTTCTGATGTTTTGCCCACATCTATAGCAGGCATCCTCAGAGGTTGAAGGGATCTGTTGGGAATCCCTCAACCTCTGAGGATGCTTGCCATAGATGCAGGCAAAATGTCAGGAGAGAATGGCCAGACAGCCTGGAAAACTCACAGCAACCCAGTGATATCAGCCATGAAAGCCTTCGACAACACAATTCTGGCAGTTTGGGGGTCCAAGAAGGTTTGATTTGCCAAGGCTGTCAGGACTAATGTTTAAGGCAGCCATGGGCAAACTTTGGTGCTCCAGGTGTTTTGGACTGCAACTCCCACAATTCGAATTGTGGGAGTTGCAGTCCAAAACACCTGGAGCACCAAAGTTTGCCTATGCCTGGTTTAAGGTATCTGCAACTTCCATTCTTTGCTATCATTTCTGGTTAAGGTATTTTTAAAAGGCATCCATATCTCCCCTTTTTGTTATGACTTTGACTAAATGAATGTTTCTTTAGGAATGTTGAAGACAAAGTTTCCTGTGTGTTGTCCATGCTTGTTTGGATAAGCACCTGCTGCTTCAGCAGGCAGAGGCAGAAATCTTGGGCTGTAGCACGATGTGAACAACCAATACATGAATGCATCAGATGCTTCTCTTTTCGGAATGGGAGATTGTCCTCTCATTGGGACCAAATCATAATTGGAATGAGCAGAATGCTTTCTTAGAAGCAGTTTGAACTTGTTACCTGGTTGTTTAGAACGTCTCTCCTTTGAAAAACAGGGGTGCAAAATGAATAGGGGGCAATCTGTAGGAATCCTAGTTCTTTTTAAGTCTGGCACAAACTTTGATCTTTTCTCTAAATGTCTTGTATAGAAAAGCAGTCTTCCTAGCCTGTTCCTCTTGTTGTAGACCAATTGACCACCGTGGAGCCCCAATTTAAAGGGGTCTTGCAACAGTTAGTGAACTCCAGAGGGGGAAGAAACAAGAGGACAGCCTTTTAAAAACAGCTTCTCTTGGCATTGTTAGCCAGGCTGCAGGCAGTAAGGCCCAAGGTTAGAGTATTGTAATGGGATGTGGCAGGACAAGGAGATGGAGGGGGGGAAATGCCCATGAATGCTCTACAGGTGGTCTACTGCCTTAGAATTGTCCCAATGTAAAGCATGGTTTTCTTTCCCATGGTGGAATAATTGTGTCCCAAAACTCTTCCCCCAAAGAACTATTCCAAATCAGACATTGAATGTTTTTGTTTATTAAGAAGCCTTCTGTTCTTGATATCCCTGTAGTTCTCAAAATTCAAGATTCCAGTGCACCAAACTATATTGTCATATTTTCCAACAGTGAAAGGCTGAGTATCCTGAGATGGCAGTAACATGTCATGCTTTTATTTTATTTTTTATTTTTGCTACTGCCTTTAGATATGCCATGCTATTTGTTTACAAGCTCAGCAATAAAACGACTTCGGATTCTTTGTTTGGTTCACAAGCTGGGTATATGATAGCATAACAATCCATTGTAGATGAGTTTGTGAATGTATTTGGAAAGGATTCAGGCTGGGGAAGCTCTTTTTAAAGACTTTTTTTGTGTCAGGAGCGACTTTAGAAACTGCAAGTCGATTCTGGTATGAGAGAATTGGCTGTCTGCAAGGATGTTGCCCAGGGGACACCCAGATGTTTTGATGTTTTACCATCCTTATGGGAGGCTTCTCTCATGTCCCCGCATAGGGAGCTGGAGCTGACAGAGGGAGCTCATTTGCACTCTCCCCAGATTCGAACCTGCAACCTGTCAGTCTTCAGTCTTGCCGGCACAAGGGTTTAACTCACTACAGCTCCCAAAATATAGTTCATCAATTAGGACTTGTTTTCTACTGCCCTGGAGACCAGGACACGGAGCAATGGTTTTAAACTACAGGAAAGGAAATTTCACCTGAACATTAGGAAGAACTTCCTAACTCTGAGAGCTGTTCACCAGTGGAACTCTCTGCCATGGAGTGTGGTGGAGGGTCCTTTTTTGGAGGCTTTTAAACAGAGGCTGGATGGCCATCTGTCGGGGGTGCTTTGAATGAGATTTTCCTGCTTTTGGCAGGGGGTTGGACTGGGTGGCCCATGAGATCTCTTCCAACTCTGATTCTATGACTATACCAAGATTGAGTTGGTTGACATTTATTTGGTGGAAGAGCTTGAACCAACTGGCAACCAGAATTAGTTGTTTCTTCCATTGTGATAAATCCTTCCGGTTGGCCTTCATACTGGTACTTGGATTGCAATTCCCATCAATCACACAATTCCCAGGCTAGCCAAGATGATGGGGATTGTAGTAAAAGCACCAATAGCTTTTACTACAACTCCCATCATCTTGGCTAGCATGGGAATGGTGTGATTGACGGGAATTGCAGTCCAAGCCATCTAGAATTGGAATAGTTTGTTTCTACAAGCCATGGGGGTTGGTAAAATAGAGTAAGGCTAGTAGAAGTGAAAGTGTTAAGTTGGGAGGTCAATGTCTTTTAGTATTAGTTTCCCCCCTTTTCTGCCCTAGCTCTACTTCTACACAAGTTCAGGGCCAAAGCAGGATGCAACATGCTGTAGTAAAATAGTATACTCCACAGAAAGAAAGAATGAAAGCAACCCAAAGAATGAAGGATCAAGGAAAACAGTGAAATGGTGGGAGCGAGGGTGAGGCTGTTGACTTACCAAGGCAGTATGTGTTTTCTATCAATTTAATATGCATGTTCTTTGCAAGAGGAATTCTTCCAGTACACAGTACTATACCATTCATTGGTTGGAAATACATAATGTTGCAATGACAACTAAAGGCACGCTGGGGAGGGGGATGATTTTTTGGACAAACCTTAGGCCTTGTAATATTAGCCATCCATTTTTGGAAACTTCCTCCTGCTTTCAGGTAGCTGGTGGGGCTGGAGAGCGTAAACCAGATGAGTGAAGGAATGAATCGGAAATTTCATGCCAACGTTAGGTATTCTTGCCCTGAAAGCAAAGTGTTTTAAACTCCCTGCGGGATTGATGTTTGTTTAGTGGATATCTTTGTTAACAGTCATGTCAGAACAGCCACGGCTTTGCCAAACGGAAATGATTCTGATTGTATAGTCTGCAATATTCAAATAAGACATTGTTGAGACTTCTGCAACTGATGGATGGTGCGAAAAGTGTGTTGGAAAGTTAAAGTTGGGAAAGTCCAGGCATATTCTATTGTGCAAAAGTGAGGGACTACCGCCACCTACCGGCCACATAAAATTAGACATTTCCAAGGATAGGAGGGACATAGGAGACTGTTTTCTACCAAGTCAGCCCATCAAAGGTAAAGGTTTCCCCTTGATATTAAGTCTAGTCAAGGGAAGTGGTGCTCAT